TACGCCGGCTCAAAAGGCGCGTAATTAAAATTTAATTAGAGCTGGAAAATTAGACTATGAAATTCCAATAACGCGCCAACAGCTAGCACAGAGCTGCGGACACCCGAGCAGGGGAAATTGTATACATAAGCAAAAGAATTAAATAAAAGCAAAGTAAATTAGTTAAATTTTATGTGAAAATCCTTTGATTAAAACCAGTCAAGTATGTACATTAGCGAGTATTAAGAGAATAACGAAAGAGAAAAAGTCTCAAAGAAATTGAGAGTTGTTTCTAAAAGGCATAAGGGGCTCTGCAAGCCGCGCTCAAATACGTTGCGTACATAACAAGCTCGCACGCGCAATCTCAGCTACAAAAGCAAATACATGGCAAACAGGACGACACATTCTAATACACCCAACCCCGCCTCCCTCAATGTATCCCAGGCGCATACCCAAGGACATGCGAGCGTTCCAGGCGGTATGCCCCTGACAGCATAACATAAATTGTCAAAAGGAAGACAACGGATTACGCAGCGAGTATTTGTTGTGTGTATGTATGTGTATGGGTCTTCGAGTCTGTGTGTGTGTGTGTGTGTTATATGATATGTTTAAGTGTTTAAGGGACTATCGATGTTGAGGATAGTTTCAATATAATACATAATGTAAGCTGTGATTAAGCCTTACGGTTGTGACAGGTCATAGGTAAGGGTTTCATAGGGCATAACTGGGTGTATTGAGTATGGAGTAAAGCATATTGAAAATTCAGATAAACGAAAGGCTTTCGTTATTTTGAGACGTGATACCTCATTTCAAATAGTTTTTTCATATATAACACATAGCTTAAGCAGAAAAAATTGTTGGTAGGTTTTAGCAACCATATATAATGTCTAAAAACATACGGCAAGAATCATCAATTGTTATTGTAAGTATTGGAAATGGTTAAAAGCTATCAAAAGAATTATTTGTTTAGAATTATCTATGGCAAATTCATCATCAAACATTTCAATTCACTCCTGATTTTAGGTTCTATTTGCAGAATATATATCTATATTATATATGCATGAATGTTCAGCCCTTAAATTTTAATAATATGATCGAAAAATTCACATTTTTCTTCACATAATAATTTTAATTTGTTTTTGGTCGAACGTGATTTTATATATATTTTATTTGAAATATATGCTATAATTTTAGAAACTACCTCTATCGATAGTAGCATGCTAACCCAAAGTCTGACCTTGGCAGCAAGTCAAATAGTAGAACAGTTAACTTTGCAGCTGTCAAGTGGCGCTGACGCTAAACTGTTGGCGAGCTATTCGACTTGGACTCTGCTCGGCTGGCAGCAGGTGCTGTTGCCAGTGGCCACTGTAGTTGTGAATTGTAGCGCCCACCTGCGGCAGGTGGAGCTCTATTTATTTATACGCATTTAAAACTGATTTATATACGGCAAAAGACGACAGCTCTGCGCACTCTTCGCCGCACTCTCCGCTACCCGGCAGCGTGTGGGGAGCCGCGTGAGATGCATCTTTAATTTAGTTGGGCTCCAGCACACGCCCCAGCGTTTACCGCAAATGCGTCTTCAATGAAATTCTTACTTGAGCTCCAGGAGCATTCGAAGCACGCGGAGCACTGGGAAGGCAACGCATCAGCTGGCTAAGGCACGATTAATGTGGCATGGGGAAAATGAATCTCTTGAAATGCGAGTTCCACTAGCCAGCGGCAGAAGTAGTTGCTGCACATGCTTCAAAACTTAATGAATTTTCCCCAACGAGGAAAATTGCCGAAAAAGTAAATCGCTTCGAATGGGCTTACGGCGCACTTAAATCAGTTTGGGCTCTATCAAATTTATTTGCTAGGAAATGTTTCCTTTTTTTTTTGCTGCCTAGCAACTTTACATACACACACAGATACACGCACGCGCTAAGGCAATCTGTTATCGCATTAACAATTTCATACTAATTTCGGCAGCCCATACACACGCGCACACACTCACACACACACACACTACTTGTTCGCCACGAAGTAGGAAATATAATTAAATTGCGTGCCTCAACGACGTTGCAAGGATGCCTGCGTCGCCGCTGGTGGCAGGATATGTATAAGCTCTGGGGCAGACGTTGTAGTAAACTAAGCGTAATAACAAATAATTTCATTAAAAAAGAGCCATCCCAGCTAACCACGCCCCTCCCGGCCCATGAATATAATTTCTCCAACATGAGCAGGAGCCACAGCGATAAACTAGGCAACCAGGCATACAAATCCAACTGTAGGCGAATAATTCCCACTTGTATTTAAGTAATTATGCCAGCAAATCCCAGTGTTGCGCAAAAAATCACAGCTAACACATGTGTATGCCAGTCTGTGGGTGGGTGTGGGTGTGTGTGTGTGTGTGTGTATCCCGCTGTGTGGCAAATAGCAAAGAGTAAGCTCCACGCAACGGAATCAAATGTACTATACATATTTCTACCAAAATACTGTGCTTAGATTGTGGGTTAGAGAACGGGATATTTATAGTATATATAATAATATATATACTACATATATAGAAATATAGAATGTGCTCGACTACTCTTATTCAGTTGTTGCTATTGCCTGCAGGGTATTGCAGAGGAGCCTAAGCCGCTTTGCGCGCACTTGGTGTAATCGAAAAGGGAAGTCGCCGTAGCAGAGGCTCTTTTAAATTGTTCGTGCATATATAAACTTCATTGGGAAAATCAATTTTTTTTTGCATAAATCAGTGCTTGATTAAATGCAAGCAGAGCAGAGAATCGAAGTGCCAGAAAGCTCTGATCAAGGGATATAATCTATAAGATACAAAATATTTACCCGTTAATTCTGAAACGGACTACTGTCAAGTTACCGATGGGAGCTACATCACAATCCTACAGTCTTTTTACGTTCAGTTTTCAAAGAACACATGATTAAACAAATAATTAATTAATTTAAAAAATTTTGTAATGAGTAAAAGCTAAAAGTATTATTCAATGCTAATTCGAAAGCCAACATTATTAATATCAGCTTAATTCTAAATCTGGGAAAATCTGAAATTAAACCAACAAATTAGTTAGAGAAAAAAGTACACAAACAAAAGTGAAAATAGTCAACAGCTTTCTTTGATCTGATTTGCAATATCAGTATTTGTTTGGAATATACTTAACCTGGGTCTATTCCGACGAAATGTGACGATTGACAATTGACAGTTTAACTGTGTCAAAAGGCCATTGCTTAACGTGTGCACTCCATCAACATAAATCACTCATACGTCACGTTAAACACGCTCAAAGTCCAAAATGACGGCGCATTTACCAGGGGCGGGCGTGGCCGCCCGCGGGTAGACATGGCCATAAATTAATTAAAGCTGCCACATAAAGGAGGCAAGTTGAGAATTGAGATCGTGTAAGCTGCTATTAAACTGTAAACGCGAAAGGCGAACAACGGCAACGGCAACAGCAAATTACAACCATTTACAATTAATTTGAACAACACTTGCCATGCAAATTGCGTGCCATGGCTCATAATTTCGACCGGTCACACACACACAGCACAACAACAACAACAGACAAAAACCACGCACACAGATAGACACACACACACACAGATACGGACACGCAGAAAATAAGTCAGCGCTGGTATTTAAAAAGGGGGCAACGTGCAAACACTCAATTAGCATATCAATAAATCAAGAAAAGTGTTGCCAGCGCCAAGAATCAACTCAGCCCACAACTCCCACTGCGCTCCTTGCCGGACGCCCCCTGCTGGTAATCAAAATTTAGTTAACAACGGCAAACAATTTATTAACTTGGCTCTAGCGCCACTTGCCAGCCCGTTGGCTGACTCTGACCTTGTGTTCTTGGACGCCAGCGCTGCGTATGCGTGATGCTTGCGTGACAACAATATTAATCATGGCCATGGACGGCGTCATCGATGTCCTAGCGCCGGGCCAAAGTCTTGGCCTGCACTTGTGCCCATCTGACCTGGCCCAGTGCTTGTTTGATTGAAACGCCCATAAATTAGAGGATGTCCTTTGTGAATAGTTCAATTTATTTTTGGCCTCTGCTGCTGCCTGCCAATTAAAATATTTGCCAGAGCGTTAGGTGCGTCGGCCTGTCCGTCTGTCTGCCCGTCTGTCTGCCCAGTCAAATGTAAATGCCACGCACGCTAATTGGCCACTTTGATGATTTAATTTATTTTAATTGGCAAAAGTAATGCAAAGTGCGCGCAGCGTCCATGAAATGTGCGCCATTTGATGCCACATCCGGCATCATTCAATTAAACGTTAATACAATTCAAATGTGCTCATGACAGTCGCTCTTTCAATCTAACAATGCAGGCAACACTCCAAATAACGCGCATACTAACGCTCGTGAGTTTCGTGAGTACCTCCTAATATTAAATTTACACGCTTGAAAATTTGTAACTAGCAAAGCGAAAGATAGCTGCAATTTTTGGGATTTTACAAACAGTGTAAAATAATTGAAATTTTTACATTTCAATATACCGAAACTATTCCGAAGTAAAATATTAATATGCTTAAAAGAATATTTGGACTTAGAAACACAAGCTCTCAAGTTTCGAATCTCGCGGCCGCATGTGAAATATAGCTCTTCCTGCTTTCACTGATCGGCCAAGTAAATTGGTATATTTATTAATTATTACATTAATTATCATTTCTTTAAGAAATGTATAAATAACAATATGTGCGAGCTAACTATTAATTACAAATAAGCGATAAGCACAAGAGAAATGGTCAGAAAAGATTTAATTCAGGCCCTAATTATTCCTTTTCAATGTAAGGAAATGTTCTCAAAACTTAAGAATTCTAAGATCATAATAAATAGATTATCCAAAAAGAGAAAGTTGTTGGAATTCATTATCATTATCTGGAATAGACATTTTTTTTTTCAAGTATTTCTATATAAATAGTATTGTATACTCAATAATATTTGACGTAATTTAAAAGATTTAAGTTTAACAAGTTTGAGAAAATCTAACATTCAGATTTGAAGAAAATAAAGACAAAAATATTTGTAAAAAATATCAAAATTCTTAGGTTTTAACCACACTAAATTTCCAGCTGAACCTTTCCGTATTCATATATACATATACCAAATGCAGCACAGAATTTCAAGTCGTGTACCAAATCCAGAATCTTTATTTTTATTTGAGTTAAACGTTTTCAGCTATTGCTCTTTATTTTTACCAATGCTGAGCCTGAGCTGAGCTGCAAGGGGATGCGTGCTAATGCCACAGTAAGTGACAGCCACATCTAAAGGCAGTATATAAAAGCATTCGATCCTTGACAGCGCCTGTCGGCCAGCTGTTGCCAGCTGACGCGTCCCAGCTTGGACACAGGCTACGCAGATTGTCGTGCCAGCTTAAAGTTGCCCAAAGATCGTCACTTTACCTTCGCCGAGCTCTATACCATCAACATGGTAAGCTATGCTGCTTAAATCAAAGCGAATATTTAAAATTTTCGCAGTGCCTGGAAGAATGCAACTATATAGGCTCTGGCTATATTGATGTGGATCCGCCCTTTCGCCTGGACATGAGCCGTGTAAAGCAAAACTTGGAGCACATACTGCCACAGCCAAAAGCCACAACCGTTGCCTTTATGTTCGATGCGTATGCCAAGTGCGAAACCTATCGTAAGTCGCCGCACGGCTAGCCAGGGCAAGCGGGAAAAGTGTGTTAAAAAAGAGCGTTGCCTACTTGCAGGCGCACAGCACGCAGCACGATTTGCGCTGCATCTGCCGGATATTGAATTCATTGAGGAGAAGTGCAACCCGTTCGCGTTGCACGTGACCATCTGTGTGCGCATCCATGCGATGCAGAAGTGCCCCAAGGAGTTCTACTCGCCCAGCGCCCAATGCCACATGGCTCAAACTTTCTTTACAAAGTGCGTGGATGACATTGAAACGAATCTTTCGTAGGAGTATATACACACACACGCACACACCCAAACACGCAAACGCAGACACACCTCTGGGCAAAAAGCAGCCAAAAGGTGATACGTGTAAATGAAATGTATTAAAGTTCTGCATGCATATAAATTCGTGTTGCACCATCGTGGCGCAAAGAAAAAACCGTTTCAAAATAAAAGAAAAAGTCATAAAAGTCATAGATGAAATATGGCATTTGACTTTGCTCACTGTGTGGGTTAGTTTTACATGTGTGTGTGTATGTGTGTGCTGGACTCCTATGCTGCAGTGTCAAAACTGCAAATTGAATCTCCCCTACATACATACACACATACACACACACATGCAGATGTGCTCGCATGTCAATGTCCGCTGCTGCTGACTTTGCATAACTTCGTCTGCTCCTTCAAACTTCCAAGCGTTGTGGCACTTGGTTTTATATACTCTGTTCGGAGCGTAAAAAAGGTTGAATTGGCTTTGTGCAATGTCCGTCTGTCCGCAAGAAATACAATTGCATGCTCGCATTTGCCACATAAGGTTTATTGCTGATGAATTTTGTGATGTTACCTTAGATAATGTTGCCACGCCCACTTTCGCAACCATGCTCGAAGTTTTCTCTTTTATACACTGTGTGATAGAGCATTGCGTAGTCGGAAGTAGTCGGTTGCAACGCTTTTAGTTGTTTTTCGTGTTTTATATTTTTTTCTCTATTTTTGCACATCCCTGAAGCCGAGTCAGCAGTAAAAGTTGACTGGCGTCGGTGTCGCTGTGCGTGTGTGTGTGTCACAGGACATGTTATGCAACTGAAACAAAGGCAAATTTATGTGTTAGTCCAGTGCCTCTCAGCGCCTGCCAACAGCCAACAGCCAGCAGGCAGCTTGAGCCATCTTGCAGGCCCCGCAGCGTCAGGTTAAATGGAATTTCGGTCGCATCCTCCTTTAAGGCTCTGTTCGTGTTTGTGCTTGAGCCTTAAAACAATTACCACATTACTAGATTTCTAGATTTCTCTCTCACTCGCACTATCTCCTTCGTTAAGTCTTTTCTACGTCTTTTGCTTTGCGTTTGTCTTGCTTTGATTTGCATTTTCAGCCCCCTCAATGCCATTGCTAAGAGCTCCACTGGCTGGCAATCAAAGAGCTTTTGCATTTTTCTTTAATTACGCCCTTGAGTCAAATTAAAAGCAAATGATAGCCAAGTTACACACACACACACACACGCGCAGACACAGACACACATAGAGGCAAAAGCTTGTAGCAATTTTGTAGCCTTTTCCATTTGCGGCTTTGTCGAGTTTTACAGTTTTACAGTTTACTTAGCCAAATCAAAGCGCACGTTTGGCCAGCTTTTAAGAAAATTATTTTTACAGACAAAGTCTGGCCAAGACGAGCCAAAGACTGGCAACGCCTTGCAAATGAGTTGTAAGAATTCACTAGATACCCGGCCTTCTGCGTACCGCTGCTCAAGTACCTAATGACCACTAGGTATTGCCTCATTTGTGTGCCAGCTAATTAGTTCAGCTTGCCGCTTCGCTTTGCCACGGCCGGGCCCCAACGCAGCCAACGAGTCAAATAAAAGACGTCGAGTGCTCGTAATTAAAATAAAAATTCACTAGAAAATACAAAAAAAAAAATATATAATAATCGTAGTCCTGCCTCAGGCATGTTACACGTGTGAGTCTGGCCGGTCTGTGCAGTCAACCAGCCCCTGGGGGCGGCTGGTGGGACAAGGAAGCTGCATAATTCATGCAACCACTGCCAACAATAACAAGCTGGCTGCTGGCTTGTGGCGCTTTGCAGGGAGCGAGGGAAGTGCAATCAAAATTATTATAATTGCGACGCGTTCGCCATTGTGCGACAACAATGACTTCCGCTTCCGTGCTGAAATTTGCTTGTCTCCAGTGTCGCTCGTCCTGCTCGTTATTCGTTCTGATTGCGCCCGCGCCTTTGGTTGTTGTTGTTGCATCTGCGACGCCTGCATTTGCATTGTTTTTAGGCAACTCGTACAACAATACCGTTAAAGGGTAGCGCTCTGTGTGAGGGTGTGGGGCTGCGGCACATTAAGTGCCTGCAAAAGACGCGCGACAAAGTGAGCAACGCCCTCAGGGCGGACGAGACGGTGGCTAACGTGCTCAAGTGCTGAAAAGCTAGACAAGTCGCATGGCGCAGTTGTAGGACTGTGTGTGTGTGTGTATGTACATATGTATGTTTGTGTGAGTGGGTGTGCGTTTTCAAAGCTGTAATTTTACTTTGAGTGAGAGGATAACACACAAGCCAACGAGTCTGGCTGTGCAATTAAAAGCAGTCAAACAATTCTCTGATTAGCTGAACTTTGACATCAGTCAATGCTTCATGAATGACATAACCTTTTGATCAGCTCGACAAGCTCATAAGCTGTTGCTCCTCAATGAACATACGCAGACACGCACAACTCATCAATCAAACTGTGTGAGGCGAATTCAAAGCGCACGAGAGTAAAGGCCGCAACTTTGTTTGGCCTTTTGGAACGCAGCTAATGACATAATTTGATTTGTTTTACGAGAACTATTTGCATCGAGTGCGGGGTATTATTACGATTATCACCATATCATAACTTTTGCTAAGTGCATTAATTTAAGCAAATTGTTGGCAACCAGCCCAGCCAGGCCGTTCGAGTGTTTCGGAATGTATAATAAAGTGCAATTAATTAGTTTAATTAATAAGCAAAAACTTTCCAGTCGCTAGCCAAACACACACATGGACATACGCACCCACACCGAAACTCATATTTACTCACACACATACAGCATTGAGCATCAAATTGAATGTTTGTCTTTGCATGAATGAATCTCTGAATGGAAACCCTGATTATTGCTATGGAGCAATGGGGCGTGACTTGGCATCAGTGTCTGTGCTGTATTATATTAAATTCTGGCTGCCATTTCAATTAAGTTTTGAATACCCTGCACCGGCTCTGAAGCTCTGCAGGGTATGTAAGAGAGATCAGTACTACGAGCTAAATCTTTCTACCCGAAATCAAATATTGACTCTCGAAAACTACTCCTCTCTGTGGATAAATATCGGGCTTATAGCCTTGAAGCGGCTATCAAAATTAAAGGAAATATCTTTCACGTTATCTTCATCGCAATCGATATCCGACACGCGAGTCATTTGTCACGATTTAAACTAAGATCCTATCACCATGTCAGCTAATTGAGCTAATTGTTTTATATATGAAAGTAAAGCGTATATTTTATCTGTTCGTGCAGGGTATTTAATTTTCCCAGATATTTCCACTTTCTGTCATATATGGCTTTATTTGCGCTCACACACACACACACACACACGCATACGCACGACATCTGACAAGTCTGGGGCTAATTGTTGCATTAGATATCAGAAGTTTATGGCCCTGAAAGCAGCAGATTTTAGATATATATTTTAATGAATTGTTATTACGCTTATCTGTCACACAGTGCAACCACCAGCCGCACCCCTTCCGCACCCCTTCCGCACCCCTTCCGCACCCTTTTGTTTGGCATGTTAGCTATGTTTTGTGCTGTTGGGTTTTTTAATTGTTGCGTATACGCCAGGTGGGCCGGTCCGTGACACAGGCAAAACCCCTTTTGCATATTAATGTCGCCACGGCAAGTGTGTGCGTGTGTGTGTGGGCGTGTGTGGGTGTGTGTGTGTGTGTGTGTGTGTGTGTGTGTGTGTGGAGGGGGGGCTTACCTTTGGACACTTTCTAGCTATTTGCCTGTGCCTTGCGTGCTTTTGACACTAGCTTTCCGGCGCCACGAAAAACCTGTCGCCATCCAATTTCATTCGGTGTCGGATTTTCACTGATTAAATATGCGCGCCCATATTTCATATTTCTGGGGCATTGCCTGCTGCATGTTGCCGCTATTTCAGGCCTTAAAACCCCAGAGTGCACTCTTTGCCAACGGCTGCTAATCGATGTACTCGACCAGGCCGTATAAAAGTAAATAAAACTTTTGGTCAAGTGGGGCACAGCTCGAAGTGAAATATAATACTGGAACAACATATAAACCAGCGCCAAAGCATTAATCCAAAGTGGCCACTTGACAGGCATATGAATACAACGCACGCACACCGAACTGTTTGGAGAGCGGCAGCCGAGCAGAAATATTACAATATGAGAGCACAATACAATAAATCAAAGAGCCATGTTCGCCGCTACAAATAAATGCATAAATTTCGAGTACCAGACAGCAGCAAGAACAACAATAATAATAATAAAAACTGTGCGAACGAGAGCGTTACAGACCATTTCGCGCGCCAATCAATGAGCTATGAAAATATGAAAAAAACTAACAGCTTCGCAAGCGAGAGCTTGCGACTGGCTCATACACTGTTTTCAGTATAAATTCAAACATAATTAAGAGCGTAAGTTGGCGTGGCTCTCACAGCTATATGCTAGATATAGAAATCGATTTTCGGAAGTGAAGATCTTCGGCCAGTATACCCATGTTTACCAACTCTGTCCCAACACCAATACACCCATTTTGTTCGCCTGAGAGCAGAGTATAAAAATCAAAAACGATCACAACAGCTGTCAATGGCAAAGGTCAGAGACGGGTGAGAGGCTCAGCAGCAGCTCTTGTGTCTGTTTTGAAATTATAAATCACTTTTTGAAAATGGAAAATGTTGTCGCACGTTTTCGCTTGTGAAGACACGTCCCTAAATTAAACTTATCTATACATATGTATATTTATGTATGTATATATAGATATAGGCTAATCGCTGGCAGCCCTGGCTTTGTGTTGGGTGACCTCAAGTGACCCAACCGGACTCATAATAAATCTGCTAAAGCACATTGCGTATACGCACTATTGACACAAACACTTCAAATAGACGGGCGAGCAACCTAATGGTAACTCAAAGCAAGCGTGAGAAGCGAAGCTTATGAAATAATAACAACAACAGCAACAGCACACATTGAGCTGGATAAGAGGAATGGAAGTCCTGGGATTGGTTGTAGGGCTGTGGGGTGGGGGCTATGCATGAAAAGCAAAGCGTAGGAAATCTGTTGAATATCAAATAACAATCACTTGGCAAGCTAAATATATCATTATGCTTAAGTAGGTGGCCGTATAACTGGCTTCGAGGCAACGGCATACAGCCACAGGGATAAAGCAAGGATACCATTTTAGCTTAGGACACACACCAACACACACACACGCACACGCACGCACACATGCGTATAGCTAAGGGACCGCACAGGGATTCTAAACGTTTTGCGCGTTTGCTTTTCTGATGCTCCGTGTTGCTGTCGCAATTCTTGATGTTGTTTTTGCTGTTGTTGTTGTTGTTATTGTTGTTGTAATTGTTGCTTCCCTTGTTGTTGTTTTTGGGTGCGTCTGGCTCGCCTTTTTTGTGTAGAGCAAACGAGTATTCCCTGTTATAATCCCCATGGCTTGCATGTTTGCTTAGCACCTACTCAGCGTGTGTTAGGTATGTTAGTGTATTTTTTACTGTGTGTGTGTGTGTTACTGCGAGTGCCTGGTTGTTGGGCAAAGGGGGTGGGGGGGGAGGGGGGGGAGTTTCTTCTGCTGTTGCTTTGCGTTTTTACTATGTTATAAATTTGAAAATTTACAAAATCATCGTCCATGTTTGATTTGCATTCAATTTTGTATAGAACCTTCTTAGCTGCCAATTTGCCTCAAGTGTGCGTGCGTGTGTATGTATACGTGCGTATGCGTGTGTGTGTTGTGCCTGCGGATTGAGCTCGTTTGTATTTCACAGAATTGCACAAGAGATTCACAAATTGCTTTCATTGATTGCCACCTACAATAGTCCGTCGAAAGGTGGTCTCAAACGGCGCAAAGCAGGCACTGGGAATAGCTAAAGGCTAGGTGGTCCGTGCGGTGCGGGGCATTGCGGTGCTGTAGTGTGAACTCGCATTGGGAAATGGCCTTAAATTGTCTAGTGCCACAAGAGAAACAGAGAGCACAGCTGGCAGCTGCCCTAGAGCACACTCGGCGTATGAGTAACGTAGTACGACAAACACTTTGGCAGCTGTTTTATAGTCGGCCAGCTGCAGCTGAGAGGCGCCCAGCTGACCCCTTTTACAGCAGCCACCGAGGCTTATGCCGCGGACGTCTACGTGAAATTATTACGCTGCAATGCATCATCCAAAGTAAACAGCGGCAGGCACCAGACGAATCTGCCGCTGACATGCTGAAGAGCAACAGCACACGCGTTGTGCTCGTAGCACAGAAAATGTGTGCGTTTAAAGGGGCCCGAGCAAAGTATTTAAGCTCTAAACAATTGAAAATAAATAAAACGAAACGAACCGAATGAAAAACTGAAATAAAAAACGCGCACAGCGAAAAGCGTACGGCAGACAGTTGGGACACAATTGACGGACATGCTACTAGAGTAATTGTTATCCTTGTTCGCTGTGCGCAGGCACGTCGCGTACTCGAAACGTGGAACGCCGAACGAAGCGCGGACTAAGCACAGGAGACGAGAGCATACTACACAAAGCACAAGCGCCACTTGAGCGTGGCACGCGCGCGCGGGCATCGCCAGCAGCAGAGGCAGCAGCAACAACAGTTGCAACAACAACAAAAAAGCTGTAAGCAGCACTCAGCGGCACGCACTTGAGGGCTTTTGCAACAGGGCGAGGCATGCCAGGGCTGGCAGCTAAAACTGCAATCGCAGCTGAAGCAGGGGATTCAAGTTGGGCGCTGTTGCTACGCCAATGCCCATTTCCTTCATCTATATCTATGTCGTCCCTTTGTATACTCTAGCAGTCCGCTCTACAAGTTGATCGCGCTTGCAGACAGATACAAATAAGTCAGGTATTGCTGATCACCATCAAATGGCAATTTCAAGAATTTTCTCAATTTAAAAACAATTTTTATTAATATTGGTAGGTTTCATTTTTTTACTGCAGGTATATAGAAATGCTTGTACTTATAAAATATGTTACTATTTACATAAAAATATTTTGATAGTATCTGTTATTTTACCAAAAAACCTATCAGCAACCTTTTATCTATTAAGAGATAGTCGCCTCTAAATGTAGTTATATGAAAAACGCTCTTGTCTGGCTAAGATCAAATTATTTGTTCGCAAGAGTATTGAATTTTGAGCAGTGCCAAAGTAAGTCACTTTTCACTTGTTCTGTTTATTTATTTTATTTTTTATTTTTTTTTCCTGTTGTTTTGGGCTTCGCATGCTTTTGTCCCGCTCACTGTAAAGCTTCTCTGAGTTTACATTTCGCTGGGGACTTATTTATTTTTAATATTTTTATTTGTCGTATGCAAATAGGCACTCGTTCTCGTTGTTCTTTGGAATTATTTTTATTTATTTGTCTGCGGCTTTTGCATGTACTCTGCAAATCTTTGCGCAACAATGCCTTTCAATTAAGTAGCGGCCACGTCTTGTTTGAGTTTCCTATTAAAACTTGAAGCAGCAACTATGTTGCAACTTGCAGTTGCGGCATAAATCACATGTCAGCAGCAGCATTGGCAGCATTGGCAGCAACATGTCAACAGCAAAGCTGGTTCGCATGCCAAATGAGCCAATATGAGCGCGAAAATGCAGCCAATTCGGAATGTGTGGCAGCAATGGCCGCTGGCCAATGGGTCAATGGTGCATGTTGCATGCCCCACGATGGCGGCTGCAATCGTAATTGAAATACAAAGCCAATTTATAAACGAGAAACGATAAAACGCAAACAACGAACGGCGCGCAACAATAGCAACAGGAGGCAGCGGGGTAGGAGGCAGGCGTCCGTCTGGTTCGACAGCAACATTGTGGGGGCAGGCGAACGGTTACAACAACGGGAAGATGAAATAAAGCATCAAAGTGGCAATCACGCCAATCACGCATAATAAATCATTGCGTGAGTGTATGCGCGCATTCTCATGTGTGTGCCTTTGCGCGTGTGTGTGAGTGTGTGCGAGTATGGTTGTGCGTGCGTGCATGTGTGTGGCCATGTCAAAAATGAGGAAACCCAGCAGCTAACGGCGGTCACGTGTTGTCAGCACACAAGAAACAACGCCGGCTTAAAGTAACACGTACACACACAATCACACAATCGCACACACACACAATTGCATACACACATGCCGACGCATGCGAGTGTTTATTTATGCTTGTTTATTGGTGGCCATATATAAGCCGCAGTTGGCAAACCAGGTGAGCTGACCAAGGAATTCAGAGCGCATGAAACAAAACCAACAACTGACAACGAGTGGAAGCCACGCACTCCGCCTGTTGGTGGGTGGTGGTTGGTGGATGGTGTTTGATGCTTGTGGCTAGATATTATGCAAATTGACTTTAAATATCTAAAAGCCTTTGATTAGCTCATGACACTTGCGAGATATGAAGACAGCTATAGAGTTCAAAGGCCAAGCTCCAGCTCCAGTTTCAACTGCCCTTTTCTCTGGCATCTCTCAGTTTCCGAGTCATTAAGAACTGGTTCACCTCACGTGGCAGCTTCGGCTTCAGCACCTGCTTTTATCGTGCACAAGCAGAGCGTGTAATTTCCTCCTGTAATTGGTGTAATTGAGTGCAAGAGCGAAGAAAATATTCAACATGCCAGCAATTAACATAAATTCACTGCGAGAGGCTAATGGAGAACAGTTACGAGGCGCCGAAGATTAAATGCACTGCGAAACTCTGGTATTTATAAGCGAAAGCTGCTGAATAACTGCGTATAGTCATTTATTCTTGAGCAACATTTAGAAATCAAGCAAGTTATGTTGGTTCGTTAAATATAGTAAACTATTTTTACAGTCCTCGGTGGAAGAGTTGTCGGCCTGACCAATGCAGACAACTGAACAACAAGGACCAGGCTAATTTGAAAGTGAAAAATGAACTATATAAATCATACACACATAATTAAAATAATAATACGAATAATAACTGTTATTAAATCTATGCGATTGAAGAGTTAAAATTAGTTTTTATATTTTAAGAATATATGAAACTTGTTAGCTGGGTTCAGATATCTGTCAAAACAAATACAACTAATTTAATAAAATGATTTGCATTTGTGCCATGTACAACAATATTTATCACAGTGAAACTAAAACCCAACTGTTTTTTAATCACAGCATTTTAATATAAAGCCCACAAATATAAATTACAAATAAATTTAAATTTAAACTGGATTAATATAACTGCAATAGTATAAGATACTTAAATACAGACATTTAAGCTTGCAGAAGTTCCCAGTTTTATGAAGCTGTGAGACCAGTTCGTTCACATGGAACATATTAAGTCGAAGAAAGCCGTTTGCAATGCGTAACGTATATTACACATAAAAACTAAAAGAGCTCTCTGTAAGTGTATGTAAGAACAACGCAAGCCCAAATGATAATGAAGCGCCCGTGTTGGGCGTGGCAAGTACAAAGATAAGCAAATGGCAGCCGCAGTGCGCTTGCCGCGGCGACTGCCGTTGATAATTGCCCGCGTGCGTGACAAATGCAGGACGCAGCGAGAGATATTAAAAAATATAGCATACTTACATGCGCGACAAGCCAACGGAGTGGGTGCTGGGCAAGGGGAGTGCTGCTTATTTATTATGCTATGCAGCAATGTCAACGCGTTGCCTTATTAACAATGCGCGCGAGGTGTAACTCAGATAAGTGTTAAGGGTTGAGCCACGAGGGGGGATACGGGAGCTCGAGGTATACTGTGAGATTATTGCACAATAAACAGCTCGGTCCATTCGAGCGCATTTTTTATGCCCACGTAATATTTGTCGTTGTTCATTTGGCGTGTTTTCTTTTGCCTTTGCAGGAATGGAGTGCTTTCAACGATTCTCAGAGCAGCCCAAATACACGGAGGTGAATCCACGCGAGGACGCGTTGCTCACATGCAAAGTAATCGATAAGCGCGGCTCGTGCTCCTGGCAAAAGGATAACAAGGTAATCTCGTGCGATATAGTAAACTAGTCACACATATTGACAGTGCTCATTTAATTTATATATTATATGGAGGCTAGTGTTTGCTTGCACTTTATAAATATCCTTAGTTCACACACATACGCAGGCAGAACATTAGCTGAAAGTCATTACATATGCGTAACGCGTCCTGTGGTTCAATTAAGTGTTGTTTTGCCTGCCAGCCTAGGCACATGTGCCAAAAGTAATTTACGCCCTTTTGGCAGGACGAGATACTGAGCTTCTGGCAAAGCTGTCGGCTCTGCCCTTGCCATCGATATGCCCCTGCACAGCGTTTCTTTGCCCACCCGACTGCGCTTTGATTGGACCATGTGGCTGGCCAAAGTTTTAATCGAATATGCGTGACAGCTCGCACCGAAGCCTTGGGCAGTTACACGCATACATACACACACACATACACATTCGTGCATACACACATACATATGAACTCAATTAGATTCGGCGCCGCGCTACATGAAAACGCTATTATGACCAACAGCACATATCTAACAGTACTCTTCGGTACTATGTCCCAAATTCAACCAGAGATCTGCATTATTTTTACCTGTTAAAAAGAAAAAACCAAAAAGGATTACTCCAATGTATCTATGTAAGAATCCTGCAATTTCCATTTAATGCACCTGCAAAAGGCTCAGGCAACCCAATTAACTAACTTTGGTATTTTGCTCGTTGCCAGCTCGTTGACTTGAAATAACTCTAAAGAAACAAACAATTTAAAAGGCTACAAATATGTGCATGTGTGCGAGTTTGTGTAAGTAAAAATAAATTGTGTAAGCTGTTGTGATTTGTAAAATGAGAGTTATATGATCTTTTGATACATATAGTAGCATTAAGTCTTGATTAGACAGGTTCTTTAATGCCGTGTGCATATTAAAACTTTATATAATGATATCGTTAATTGTGGAGCATATCAGAACAATAAGATTAATCACCTACAAGTTTTTATAGATTTTCCGTAGTTCTCAAACACAATACAATTTTTATGCTTAAAAGTGTTATGAAAGTATAATTTTCAAATATTTCTAATAGTCGAAATAATAAATATAAATATGTTTCAGTATATTTGAACTTTTTCACCTTAAAAAAAAACTGTGCTCCTTAATAATTGATGTGAAAATTATTTTGCAAATACTGCATTAAGAAAAACAGACTGTGAATTCTCCTGCAATATTTAAAGAGTTTTAACTAAATTAATTTAATAGATCCATAATTTCAAATGTAGCCGAAGATGACAAACGCAGAGTGAAAAATTGATATTATTCGATTAGTTGAAGAGCGTGTGTTATGGGTGGCAGCAGGGTATCTTCCAGTCGATCTCCCACTATTTTTCTTTCTCTGTATGTCAATCTTCTGGCAAAATGTCATGTTTCACTTTGGTCTTGTGGGCTATTGCTTTATGGCATAGAATCAAAACATCTGCGTGTTAATTTGCATAGCAGTCGAAAATGTTCTGTACGATACGAAGCAGAGTGGACTCATTATTGGGTTGGCCCGAGTCCAAGGCATATGAGAGGCTCGGTTTATCTTTACCTCGAATATGATTTTGCTGCTTGTTATTCATGGCATTTGTATGCATTTGTAGCATAACTTTTAGATGCTTCTTTTCCTCCTCCCCCATTCTCTCTGCCGCTCGCTCTCTCTCACTTGTATCATGGACCTTGCGGTCCAGGCAGTTGCCTCTGCAAAATCAAATGCCCGACGGGGTGTGGTTGGGGCTGGCGTTTCTGGCTACTTGCATGACAACAATCACAAAGCATTTCAAATGCACTTTTTCATATGCTGCACATCGCAACGGATCGCATCGCAGCGCTTTGCCTCGATTTGCAGCATATACTTAAATGTTTACATGGCTTGTGTCTCCAGGACACTAAGGAGCTGCCATGCAGCAAAACACATAGATGGGCATGGCCAAGCAAAGCATTTGCATGCGTCGAGTGTCCTTTACATGTACAACCCTCACACACACACACACACACGAAAACATAAACACACACACATACATTGTTGCTGTGTTCTGTTCGCTTTCATTTAAAATTCACCCTATTTTTGAATATTTATAGCAATTGTTGTTCTTGTTTGTGTGTTTGCTTTCAAAATTCACTTGCCCATTTTTGCAGGGCATTTGTATGGTTTTCCATATAATATTTTTCGTATAGTTATCGTAAGTAGACAACTTTCATGTCTGTCCATGTCCCAAACTGTGCAGCTTCCACTTCAATTGAGGCTAAGTACAGTCCATAAATACTTGTGCGAAATGTTTATTAAGAGGCACATTCGAGAATCGCTTGAAGAACTTACCTCGCCCCCAAATAGCCCCAGAGACAAGCAACAAATGGGCCAAGGAGAAGCGACACGGAAAGGGCCATTGATCGAAGGCGAATTATTGTGGGCCAATTGCAAAAGTGCTTAACTGTCTCTGAGCTTCTTGGAGCTATTCAGATGTACATACATAATTTGGACACAGCAATTTTATGCCAAACATAAATATTAACTACTGAAAATGCCTTTACGGCTGCTGATCAGCTATTAAATACCCTGTTCATACCCATTTTAGAGGCTATTATAATTTTATCTCGAAATGTGTAACGCATAGAAGGAAACATCTCCGACTCCATAAATTATATATATTCTTGATCAGTATCTACAGCCGAGTTGCTATAGCCATGTCCGTCTGTCCGTCCGTCCATCTGCCTGTTTCTATGCGAACTAGTATCTCCGCTTTAAAGCTATCGTCATGAAACCTTGCATTCGTCCCTCTTTCTGTTGCACGCAGCTGCTGGATCGGACCACTATATCATATAGCTGCCATAGGAACTTTCGGTCGAAAATTAGGTTCTTGTAAGAATTACCTTTTGTTTTGACTATATGTAACTATAACTATAACTATTTTCCTTATGCTTCTTAAATACGAGCAAAACATTATGAACATTATGAAAAGGTTCGGTCTGCAAGGGTTTTCATTCTTCGGCTTATGAAAAGTTTCGGTCTGTAAGGGTATAATTATTTCGGCTATTCTTTCTCGTTAGATAATAGATTTTATTAATTTCGATGGTATAATCCAAAACTTAAAGTATGTTATTAATGCATGTTCAATTAATTTTTTCAATTTTTTATAAGGTGTCTTAACTGACAGCTAGTCAGGCAAATATTAGCTACCTAAGAATGTATTAATTCATATAGTATATATTCAAAGGCAGAAACTGTAATTCTCTGCTACACAAGTAAACTCTTGCTCAACTTGAGTACACGGTATAGTCAAAGAATAAAAACTGACAAAGAAAACAGAACAATGCGGTATGTTGTGGTATGGAAGATAATGTCGATTGGAAACGATTTAGTTCACTTTGAGGGCGGTTATCACAAGCACAACCGACACACACGCACACACACACACACACCCATACACTCACACACACACACACACACATACAAGCTCACACACACGCACGCTCACAGACATGCACATTCAAGCAGCAACTCAGAGACAACAAAATATTTGCTGGCTTTCAAAATTGTTATTTTGACAATTGGCAGAGCTTGGCCAACATTATTGAACATCATGCGCTTTGTGTTTTGGCCAACAGACACACACACACACACAGACACACCCAGAATAACACAGATAGATTCGCTTAGCCCCGGTTCGCCGGCCAACGCAAGTGCAGCTGACCAGACGATGGTTGGCCAAGATAGCACACACAAAAATGTCGAAACGAAAATGAAATAATAATTTAAATAATTCTCAAATGGAAATGCCTTTTGGCCGTAGCTAATGTCGAATGCAAATGAATCCATTTGCATAACTGTACGAATACTGAATACGAATATGCGAATATTACGCGTGCCGTTCGACCAAATTTTGGAGCCAGGCCAGTCACATGAAATGTCATGCAATATTTTAGCCGTATGTCTGTCTGTCTGTTTTTATTGTGCTGCAAAAGCCCTAAATTGCAATGCTGCGAAATTCCCTTAAAAATGAAAACATAAAAGAATAATTAATTGTTGATATAACTGCATACCTGATGCAATTGATCCTTTTTTGGCGACTACAGTGTACAATTAATTAAACCCATTAGATGAGCAGACATTTTAATGGTTCAAGGGCTAAGCAACCTGGAAGCCGGCAGACGGACAACGTGAACGCTATTAGGTAGCTATGGAAACATTCCCGACAGGATACAGCCGGATACACGAGGGGGGCGTGGCATAGAACATAAATACTTAAATGCGAACGATGCCATCCTCAAAGATCACTAATTGTAATTTAATTTCCAATTAGCAAACAAACTAATGCCAATTTAGAAACGGCAACAAGGAGAACGACTCTTGTAAGCGGAGTTAAATGACACGTAGTTGAAAATGGTAGCAGACAGGCAGCTGGCCGGGGCGGTGCGAGGCGGGTTGGGTCGGGCCTGGCCGGGCCGGGCCGGGTCAATGGGTTGGGTCAGCGCCATTCAAAAGCCAACCTGCTGGCTACACTCTCTGTAAATACATACATCTGTCTATTTCAGTGTCTCTGTATGTGAGTGTGTGTATTTGTGTGTGCGTGTAGCAAAATTATACGCCTGACTACATCGAAAAGTTAAGCATGCTAAACATGTCGTTGTCCAGTAGCCCGCCCACAGAATTTCGTTTCCATCCACATCCACATTCACATCATCCTCATCATGGTCCTGCCACTCCATTGTTTTAGCAGCTTTAGTAATCCAAGATTCTTCTTCCTCTCTCCGCACATCTAACAGCCAGTGGGCATCTATCCGAAGAAATACGAATGGGCCGCACGTCCACTGAGCGGCAATGGCGCCCTACAACTGGATCTACATCCGCCGCCGCCGCCCATGCAAATCGGCGGCGATTGCTCACTGTGGATACGCTCGGCCACCCTGGACTTTGACGACGGCCTGTGGGAGTGCCAAGTGACGGCAAGTGATTTTACCGCACAGGATGCGCTGACCAGTCAACCGGTGCGATTGGTTGTACGTGGTGAGTGTTAATCCAGCAGCTAAAACCAATGTCGCCCAACGTGGCGTATGATTAATATTTGGGCTTCACCCTAGAAATGCAACTGGTAGCAGTTTAATCCAATATAGCTTTCCCAAACAGATTAAGAACTGCGTCACAAAATGAATAAATCCTTAAAGGACACGTGTCCGATTTTATGAATTATACTTTATTGAAATGTAATCAATTTTTTTTTATATATTTATTTTATATACTATATTTAGTACTATTCGCCGAGTCCTAGATGCTAATGACTTTGGAAGCCTGAATGAATTTAATTAGAACTCAACTTAGATTCAATTATTACTTGAATTTATTATTCTACTTGGTAGATCAGCAGCCTTTGGAAAGCTGCTTTCATAAAGCTGTTTTATACAACTTTGCATGTACAAGTTTTTTCCTACAGGTTTATATGCATCGAACGAATCTAATACCCATAAAATATAAAAGCAAATATCGGTGAAAAATTGAGCACTTGTATCACATTCCTCTTTAACAATTTTATCTCATTGAAATTGGGCAGCAGGCAAAAAGTCGCATCTTCCATTGCATAAAAAATGTACATATAATCTGGTTTAGAAGTGTATAATTATATAGGGATATCTCTTAGTTGGGCACTTTCTTAAGGAACATTCTTTCTTGTTTGTTTCTTAAAATGTTTTGGACAAGCTTATCAATTACGATCTTTAGGACGCCACAGTTTAAAATCCTATCGAATATGGGAAGAATCAAATGAGACTAGAGCCATGTGGCTTACTTTAAAAACACATCGTTCATTAGATATATTGATAAATTGGCACTCCAAAAATAACTGTTGCTCAAATAAATAAAATAGCAGCCAAAGAGCAGCGTTCGGTGCGACGTGTTCGTTGGGGGTTTTAATTAAATTTACCCTCGAGCTGCTCGCAGTGCTGACATTTATTGCTGACCCCAAGAGCCGTACTACTAATCTGTGTTTAAAATTTCTCTCCTGCTTTTCCCACACACACACACATTTAGTGGCGCCACAACGTCCACGTCTGGAGTTTGAGAGTGCACCGTTGCCGCCGGGCCACAACATCACGGTAGACGCCGGCAGCGTGGCGACTGTGAAATGCGCCTCACATTATGGTAATCCGCCTGCAACGCTCAAATGGTATCTCGGTAAGTAGCGGGGTTGTGTGGCGATGGGGGTTGGGGGTTGGGGCTCGGGGCTTGCAGTTGTTATCCTTTGATTGCAGTTGTTATCTTGTCTGGCCGTGACATAGCCGTGTTAATTAATTTGAACGATTTGCTCTCGACAGGCGACCAGGAAATCTCGCCCATACACCCGCAACTGAATGCCACCGAACCGGACAATACACGCACCTGGTCAGCCACCTCGGTAGTGCAGGTGTCCGCCATGCGCGAGCGACACGGCGACATACTGCGCTGTGTGGCGTTCCATGAGAACTACGAAGCCAAATCGGTGCCAGTGGAGGCCCGTCTCGATGTCAAATGTAAGTCCCACAAAAAAAAAATAACACAAATGCCAGCAAGAACAAGCAAAGAAAAGTTTAGTCTACAGTCTCCGGCTGGACGAAGGAGCGCGTCCCTTGGGCATGGTCCTTAGCTTGGCGGGCTGAGCTGATTGCATTTAGTTGCATTTGGCTTAAAGTCAAAAACTAAAAGGACATTGCAAACAGCTGTAACAATTCAATTAGCCACAATTTGCAGCAATTTCCTGTTTTGTTAAGCAATTCAAGATTTTTGGCCCCAAGACGAGCAGAAGGACAACTTCAATGTTAGTTGCCTGTTGACTTGTTTCTTGTGCTTGTGCTTGTGCTTGTTTTGCTTGAGAGAGAGTCAACTATTGCTCTTCTTCTCATCCCGTTCTTGTGCCTTTTGCAGACGCGCCAACCATTCGTCTAATTGGCTCACCGGAAATCGACTTGGAAGAGGATAAGGATGCGCTTGTTCTGCGCTGCGTGGCCGATGCCAATCCGCCGGCCAGCATCGTTTGGCGACGTGCCGGACGCTCCGAGATAGCCAGCTTGCAGGTAAGCCAGCATCAGCCCCCCCCCCTCCTTCCCCCTTAACTCTCTACAGCAAACCCATTATCCTGGGCAAACCTATAGACCGGCAGCGTGGCATCCTGGCAGCCAGGTTCTATTCCAGCTTGTTGTTTATGTTGCTACGAAATTTCGACGTCGCTTGCCTTATTTATCTTAAGTGTAGCAGAAATTTGTAATTGTATTAAATTGCCATCTCTCTCTTTCTATCTTCCTACCCGTCTCCCTCTAGGAAACGCTGCAGTTGCGTCCTGTTGGACGTCGCGACGCCGGACTGTACACCTGCCAGGCACAGAACTCGGTGGGCACCTCGGAGCAGCTGTCGGTGCAGTTGGACGTGAAATGTGAGTCTCTTACAATATTTATCTTGGCCGCGATTGTTGTTGTTTCAGCATTTGCTTGGCTAACTTTTGCTTAATTTTGTATTGACGGTCGCTCCTCTGTTTATTCTGCCATAGATCCACCGAAAATTATTTCAGCCGGCCCGGACCGTCTTACAACAGCGCCGCTCTTCAGTCCCGCGGCCTTCGAGTGCGTCGCCGATGGCAATCCCATGCCAGCCTACAAATGGGTCCAGAGGTGAGTCCAAGGCCCCCAGCTCTAACCATTCGTGAAATGCGCAAGATGAAGGCTACAAAATTTTTGCGTTGCATACTTTTGGGCGTCGTGGGGATCACGCAGCCGGCATGCGTATAATGCGCCTTATATGCACTGCAACCAGAACACGCGCCTTCGAAAACTCCCTGTGGCGTTAATTAAATCCTTCAGCATTCAAGGCTGCATATACGCATATTTGCGCACAGCACACATAAAGCCCTTAATATGCTGTTCCTTTATCAATATGCCGTGGCCTGTTGACACAGCCCACCCGGTGTATAAGTAATATTGCATGCAGCGCAAATAGACACGCTTTCTGAGACGCGTTCATACATATATGTATATGTTTTAAAATTCCTTATACTAAGCGCTAAAACAGACTGTATGCACTAAAGAGTTTTTGCTTAGCTTACGAACCCGCAGAATAGTCAGGGATTTTTCATGTGCGAACAACTTTTCCGTAAGTCTGTTAAGAGACAACTCGCAAAGTATGCTGTAATAGGGATAAGCTCGCTTAATTTCAATATTAAAACGGGCTATATATATATCACACAAATAAAACAACGCCAATTTCAAAAGAAATCAAATGAGTCTAACGTTAAAAATCTGCGTTAGAATAGACAGCAGCATCTTAATGCACTATATCTCACGATAAAAATCTCACTAATATATTAAGATACAAAAACCAAATTTATTAACGTACCAATTTCTAATGAGATAATGTACGCAACTTCCATCGAATTAACATTCTCTTTTTTAACAAAGTATTTAGTAAAACTATAAAATATTCCCACCGTTTTTAAATATTTTTGAAAATACTTTGCAAACGCTTATTCTAAATATCTCAACAAATAAATCGTGTGGTTAAAGTTAATCTTCCATATTCAAATGAGCTTCATCTATATTGCAGATCTGAAACAAGTTCTAGACTTTTCACTTTTACCTACTATAACTATTTTCAGGAAACATTAACTATATTGATTTAAAGAGTAAATCAGACTAAATCGTTCTATACCTTATGAATTTATTTAATTCTCCCAGAAAATCTTTGTATATATTGCAGTAGAATATTCCAAATTCAAAACTAATTTAAAAGTAACGAAAAAGCACAAATTTTTATCAAACCAAAAAGTTTTTAGTTTTTTATTTTTAATTAAAGCATCTTAGCAGATCCATGGACAAAATAATTTTATTAAATAATGTATAACCATTTTCATACCATATGTATGGGATATAAAAGTCTTATACTCCCTATTAAAGAAGCGAGTTATAAAATCAAATTTTGAGTATCTAGTAAATATCTCAGTTATTATGCACTACGAGAAGCGCGATAAAAATATAGCTTTCGTTTTATTAAAATAAGATTATGACATTGAATTGAAATTGAAATTTCCTGAATGCGGGTGAGCTTCCTGTTGCGCGTGGTGCACAGCTCAGCCAAACAGTAGCAGACGCAGCAGCAGCAGCTGCATGCTTTTATGGCCACGCCCACCATCTATTACACTTGATGTTTGCGTCATTTTAATTAGCTGCACAGCGGAAGTCGTGCACAAAAAGAGAGAACGAGAGAGTGCGAGGGAGAAGGAGAGGGAGAGAGATAGTGAGGAAGGTTGGGCTGCCACATTTTTAATGGCTCACAGCGTCAGTCTTGTGTCTGCAGGCTCTTTCTGGGACTCTTGGGACATTAATATGCAAAGCAGTGCCACACTCATCCGTCCGTTCGTACATTCGTTTGTCCATTCAACAGGCAGCAGCTCGTCATGTTGGAAAAATCGAAACACAAAGTACAGTACGTGCCACTCTGTGTGGCATGCCACCAAGCCAAACTCAGCTCCAGATCAGCAGTCTGTACGTGATTTGTGATTTCATTTGTTTGCATTTCCCCCCGTCGATGTGCTCATTGAAGTTACATATGAGAGTTTGTGTGGCTGTGTGTGTGGGTGTGGGCTCTTCTTGAGCTGATTCGCTAGAGCGTCAAATTCTAATAACAAATGCCACATGCAACGTGTTGATTTAATGAAGCGTGCCCGCGCGTGTTTATCAGAAATTAAATGTCAATTGTTGAAAACTAATTTCCACGCGTAGCCCAACCTCCCACCCACACCCAAGACACATTAAATGGCGCGTGCCAAGCAAAACCAATACGGGGCGTCGTGTGAGTGTGTGTGTGTGTGAGTGTGTGTGTGTGGTTGTGTGTTTCGGTGTGTTTGCGTGTAATAAATCAATGGTGGGCGCTGTTAATAGGCTACCTAGCGAGCCGAGGTGGCTCGCATGCCACAGGCACCATTACCGCTGGCTAACGGTGTCCTTTGCTTTGACCCACCCGCACCACACACTGACATATGCAAATGCAAGCCACACAACCGGCCGCCACTTGGCCTGCAAATGTATTTGCAGAAGGAAAAGCCCAAGCGCAGCATAGGAAAAGGCATGTCACTTTGATTTACGTGAAAACATTTCGACGAAGCCTACACAAAGCCCCGCTGAATGGAAATGTAGGAAGCGCTTTGTGGTTGGACTTTTTGTCGAATTTTTGCGACTTCATTTGTGGTGCAGGATTTGCATTTAAATGGCTTGCTAATTTATTGCTTTTAATTGCGTCGCGGCCCTTCAAAAGCCGCTTTAATTGACGATTTAAGCTGGTGACAGAGTCTATGCAAACTGTTTTGAGCACAACTATGTGCGCATATCAAAGGAATTTGAATGGGCGCAATCCGAAACTCTGGCCAAAATTGGGTGTAGGGTGTGTGTGTGTCTGTGTGTGTGGGTGTGGCTGGGCCGAGCTGAGCTGAAAGCATTTCGCAACATAAAAGGCATTTCTCATATTAAAAAATGTATCAAATATTTTTTGCTTGCAACGAAAATATCTCGCCCACAAACGCAATTTTCAATATTGCTGCACAAAACTTGCAACAGCAGCAGCAGCAGCAATGGCAACTACCCCCAACCCCCACCCCAAGTTGCAATGTAGCTGCTGCCTTTTACCCAATCGGGTTGTAGTTCAAAAAGCTGACAGCAAAAAAAAAAAAAACAAAAAATGAAAATGAATAAAAGCGCAAGGCGAAACGCTTCAAAGTTTGCCACGTCTTTTCTTTATTCCACCTCTATTGATCATCTCTTTGGCACTGAACTTGTATTAATAATTTTCTGATTTCCACTTGCAGAATCTCTCATGGCTCAAAGTACGTAGAGCGCGGCAATGAGCCGCGACTGGTCATCGATAATGTCACCTATGAGTACCAGGGCGAATACGAGTGCCGGGCCACCAGCTACATCAATGGGCAGGAGCGGGTAGCCATATCCGATCCCGTGTCGCTGCAAGTTGTGGGTAAGTGCGGGCCACACATGCGTGTATACACAGTTATTTTTTATGTACATGTTGCTGCGGGGCAACCGCAAATGCCACAGCACCGCAAAATATGACTACAGACACAACTGTCCCCAGAGCAACTGGAAAAAAACGTCGTACAAAAAATAGGAAATTTACTGAAAACTGAGTTACGACATGCCAAGCGGGCCGACAAACGACGTGAGCAACTGTTGGCCAAGCTGATGACCAGCAACAGCAGCCAGTATCAGTAATAAAATAAAAAAAATGGTTACCTTTGGCATGCTGAAGATTAAATACCCTTTAGAAACATGGAAATATGAATTATGAAAGTTTTTCGTCCGATCGGCTTCTAACTAATTTTTAGATCTTCTCAATAAAAAATTCATCAAATTTGCTGCAAGTTGTATTGTATTGCCTTACTATGCGATTCTCATGAATACACGTAAGACCAATAGTTTTTCATGCTATAATATTTACTATGATATTAAGAAGTTGTGGCAATCTAAAAAACTTTTCTAGTATTACGTAAATATCAATTAAACTAAACGCAGAACAAATTTAATGCCCACTAGGCTGTTAATTATAAAAAAAAACACTGTAGTTCTCGCCCCACTATGCGATTCTCATGTATTCGAATAAGCTTTACAGATTTTTATGCTGTGATTATACGTATTATATTACCATGGGTATTAACATGTTTCCATGGCTGTCTCCATGTATGTCTGCATTATTGCACAAAGTGTATTTTTATTTGTACCCGTGTTTGTACACCAAACGCAGACCAATTTTAATTGCCGCTGCTCTGCAATTCTTGAAAAAAAATTGGAATACCCTATGCAGCGTGCAATATACAGCGCATGGTCACTTGCAAATGCAGAACTGCGTTTAAAGAAACAACTCAACGTGTGCCCCATGTGAGCGAACTAAGCTATTTGGCCTGCTTCTCTTAGCCCCTCCCGAGCATTTCCATTCCCTCCCCGATCCTTCTCTATGTGTTTTAGTTACACAGTTAAGTCGCTCGCTCTGTCGCTCCCCGTGCAGCTAATGCTTACTTAAAATAACACAAAACTCCATTAAAAACTGCAACCGGAAAGCGCGTCGAAAACATTTTAAGCGCCTGCGATTTTGCCAATTCCCCTCCTACCGCTAACCACCCACCCGGCAAGTTGTCGCTGCGCTACCCACCCAATTTGGCGGCTGCAGGCGCCGCACAGCACAGCAAATTTAGCAAGCGGCAACTGGCGCTGGCGGCAACAGACTAAACCAAAATGTAACACAAAATCAAAATGAACTTATGACCACAAGAAAAAAAAAAGCGAATGAAAACATACAAAAAAAAAAAAATGCAGGCAAAAAATGAAGAAGAAGCGCGGCCAAAATGGCAGAATATAACAACTGCCATGGCCAACACAGCCGCGGGCAAGCGTCGAAAAAGCGGGAGACAGAAAAAGACAGAGAGAGTGTTAGAGAGCGCGCGCGAGAGTGAGAGAGAGAGAGAGATAGCGTATATATTTAAATTTAGTGCTGAATACCACAGCACGTACATAATTTATGGCCAACCAAGGACACGAGCAATTTAGCAGAGCCAGTCGTGAAAAAGTGCTATATCCTTTATGGGTATGTGTGTATGTGCACTGGCAAAAAAAAATTGTGTGCACGCCATCCATACATATATGTATAAATATATATATACATGTTTCTGTGTGTGGTGCATGTGTAAAGTAACTAACGAACTAGTTAACTAACAACAACAAAAAAAATGAAATAAAATAAATTGAAAGAAAAAAAAAACGCAGCTCATTATGTGCAGCTGCGCGCTGACGACATTGAAATACCCTACAGACAACAAAGTTTGTCAACATATTTGGTAGCGTTTTCAGCGGCACAGGACACATTTGAAATTCGTTTAACCGCGTCAGATTCAGTTCCCAACAGATACGCTTAAATTGGCCAACAAAATATGCTCAACGTTCCCAACCGTCTTTTCAGTCCTATTTTGATTAACTTGACAGCTTTTAAATAAGTAAAACATTTTTATACGCTGTTTACCTGTTCACAAAGTAAAAAGAGACTTGCCGCCTTTCGTCCGCGCTTGCAAAGTTGTGCAATCTTGAGGCCCCAACTACTATTTTAAGTATTGCGGATTTTTAGTCCTTGGTCAGTTTTAGAGCTCGAGACCAAATTCGCTGGATTAATAGGTAGCTGCATGCCTTTTGAGATCGAGTCGAATGTATGCTTGCCACGCCCATTCTCCCTCCATCAAATCGCAAAAACAAAATTTGTCCCAAACACAGTCACCGACCAAATCATCAAGGATATCAAGTTTTAGCTTAGCTGTGAACAGCGTATTGTGCATTCGACTAAATCCGACCTTAAAGTTCTTTTTGGTTTTTTGTTTAATTGTGCGCTCATAATGTAAGCTAACATAATTTTCGGTTCCAGAAGCATGTAAGATAATTTCAGTGCCACCAATGGATAAATTTATTTAGGCTAACGCTTCGTGCCAAATTGTTATATTATTTATCAAATAAATAATTATATTAACTTATTATATTTGATTGATCAAATATATAGGTATAGTTCTTAGCATTCATATCAACAACGGTTGAATTTCAGCAACAATTTCAATTAAATATTCTCAGGCAATTATTTGCTTTCATATCGGCACAAAGTATTTAAGCTGTAGCTGTTCATTCAAAAAATCGCGAAACTTAAATAATATCCCAAATGCATGCTGGATAAGTACTAAGCATACAAGTTCAAATAAATGCATGTACAAAGTGGCGATAACTTGTAAGTAGAAGAAAAATTAAATTAATTCTAAATAAATAAATCAGTTCCTGGCATAATCAATTTGTATGTATAACAATATGCTTATACATATTAAGAAGTATAAATTGGAATAAAAAGTTCAGTAAATATTAAGCCAAAGGTGCATTCAATTAATTTTTTATTTAAAAGGTTGTATTTACTAAAACATTTTTATTTCAAGCAAATGTCCAAAGCAGAGATTCATATAATACAAAATAGTTATATTGATAAATCACAAATTGAAGCACGAGTTGGGTCGATATTCGTCAATATCCTGTCTATCCAACCGTCTGGCCGGAATCCTGGGAATATATCTTTGTATATATCTAAAATAATATACAACTCTTGTTACCATATTTTGAATGTCATTCTACAGATCATTTGAAACCGAAACCCTTTTACGACGTAGTAAAATCGGTTAAAATAATATTTTGTAGACATATGACGTATGAGTTTTTTCCAGCGGTTGCTCATAACTAACATCAACTTTTTTCTATATGTTTCAGGTGCTCCGCAAGTGCTTCGTCTGCATCCCTCCATGCACACAGTGTCCGTGAAGCGCGGTGAACCGGCCAGCCTCACGATGGTCGTCTGCGCCGATCCGCGACCGCAGCGCGTTGCCTGGGAATGGGGTTCGCTGCGTCTAGAGGCAGGTTCGGGCATAGGTACGTATACTTAACGGAGTGCGCTTCATTGGGCAGCTAATGAAAATGCAATTAGATGCGTTGTTGTAGTTTTCCTTTTTCAATAAGCCCAAACTCAATTAACGCGGCGACGCATCAAACGCATTGCACATCACGCACAGCCACATCGGGGAAAAGGGGGAATATTGTTGCCGTGTGCGTTGGTTTGCCCTGCTGCACGGTTGAGTGCTCATTAACAAACCTTTTCGGCAAATTTGACATTGAACAAACGTCGAGCGTGCTACGTGTAGCTAAACGGGGGACACCAGGAGAGCGGGAGACAGACGTGCCGCACGCTGCACAAATCAAGACAAATTACATGTCCAGAGACGGCAGCTTCGACGCCAGAATCAGACGAATGCCACCATCATGTTGGGCTAGTGTGGCATTAGCATTGGCAGTGGGGCCTGGGTGGGGAAAGCTCTACGCGTAGCCCCGACCATTGCCGGCGCTCGAGCAGACTTCCCACGCTTGTCAGTTGCCGGTAATCCTGGCTCCGACAGACAACGACACAGCCAAGAACCATATGCAGCTCGTTTTTCACTTTAAACTGCATTGCGTAGCGTCTTTTGTGGGCCAGATGCAGCTGTAGATCCATCTCCAGCTTCAGGCTGCCAACAAATCTCGCGCATTACTCTTAATTTTCAGCTTGTCTGCGTGCGCATCCGGTTGCCCGTCCGCCCGTCCGTCCGCCTGTCCGCCCGGCTATCCATCAGTCCGGCAACCCGTCTGTCCGTCTGCCCGTTTCTCTGGCCATGCGTGTAATCCGGCGTACTTGCTACTGACAGGCATCAGGCGAATCGCATTGCATGCTTAACCGCATGATGCGTGGCTGTGGCGTGGCAGCTTCTTGTTGCGCATACAACACGTTGGCTTGGCTCTTCAATTGTTCATATTTTTTTATTATTTTTCGCACTAATACTGAGCTATGCATTTAATGCAAAATTGTTTATCACTCTCTCGCTTCCCCTCTCCATTTTTCCTCAGATCGCTTTCGTGCCGACGATATGCTTACGGATTCGCGAGAGGATTGCTACCTCTCTACGTTGCACATTCACCACACCGATGAACACGACTCACGACCCTACTATCTTGTGGTGGAGAACGAGCGGGGCACCGATCGTCATGCCATTCATTTGATTGTGGAGGGTACGTTTGCAGGTGCATAGTGTTTTCTTTATTTTTCCTACCATTAACAATTTAGTTTACACACACATACACACACACACTAGCACACTGAAACTGCTTTCCTGCAAACAATTTATAGATAAGAAGATAAGAAAGCGATTCTAAGATTGTTAAGAGATTTATTTCCCACCCTACTTTGGTTTACTTTCTCGTTTGAAAAATGATAAATGCGATACCAATTTATTTCTATATATATTCCAATCTATCGATTCTATCAATTCTACCGTTCGGCTTTGTGCGTTACGTGAAATACTAAAAAATGTTTGCAGGGATGTTTTTCAGCCATTTTCTAATGGGCATCTGCAGGTGTATGCGACCCTGTGACACACTCATTGACAATTATTGATTACATTTCATTTTTGCACAATGCATGCCAAATAGCAGAACTTATTAAATATTTTTCATGCGAACACCATATTAATTATTTTAATTAAAATCGAACCAAATAAACAAATGAATATTCCTTTTACGCCTGCAAAATCAACGCCATCGAATATCAACTTTAACAACAATGAAAACAACAACAACAACAAAAACCTGAATAATTGAAACAATTGCCGCTTTTGGCAACGCACAGAACCTTTGGAGATGAGCTACCTACTGGGCGTGGCCGGCGGCTGTATGGCCGCCATTTTGATCCTGATCTGCCTCTGCATCTACGCCGTCAAGAGCAAAAAATGTTGCTTCAAGGGTAAGTGGAATTATTACGTGGATTGTTGTGTGTCCAGCTCGAGGAAGCTGCTCATTAAAAATTAAAACTCAATTCGCTGCAGCAACAACAATGGCAACAGCAACAACAATTGCAACAATTGCAACTGCTGCAACTGTGGGCAAACAGGGCCGCATATTAATTACAAGGCCCTCAAAGCGAACGCGCGTCCCAACAATTAAAGCATTTTCTTCATTATGCCACCAGATGGCGTTGAACTTTACGCTTGCCGCATGCCACATTTTGTTGTCATACTAATTGCAAAAACACAAAAAAAAACTTACACCAAAGCCAAAAGAGAGAGAGAGAGAGTGAGATAGAAAAACAAAAACAGGAAAGCCGCGCCTTTCATTTAATTTTTTTTTTTCTCTTTTCTGAACTTTTTTTTTCTTTTTGGTTGGTTTGAAACTCAAATAAATCTCATAAAATATTCATTAGCGCATTTTGCGCCGGCAACGCCTGCGGTCAGCTGGCCACAAGACAAAAGGGTTAAGGTCCTAAGCAGCACAGCTTTCAGTTAAGAACAACATATTTTTTGTTGAGCCCACCCTTAGAATATTTCTTTACTTGTATGCGGCAGCTTAAAGTCGTTGAATTTTTTGGGGCTAGATGGACTCTGGATAGGGGCTGCTTTGGCTAATTAGAAATCAAAATCGCGCCGCAAAACTTTTGCTCCACGCGCAATTAAAATGCACATTTGTAAAAACAATTTACAAAGCAGCAAAAGAAAAACAATTTGGCAAAAGAAAAAATATAATGAAAAAAAAAAGCAGAAAAGAAAAACTTTGCCAAAAAAGGAACTTGCTCAAGGACACGCGCTCAAGAGTTTTGTGGCTGGCTTGAAATGAATTTACGCTCAGGGATTTGCGCTGGCCGATTGCCTGGCTGAAAATACAGCTGTAAACCGTAAACTTCGAGTCGTAAATAAAGCCAAATCCCGAGTAGCCCGGCGTCTGCAATTTCTCAGTTGTCAATCAAAATGTCAATTTTCACACAGCGGCAGCAAACGTGAACATCTTGAGCAGCTGCCGCCAATTGCCAAGTTATCAAATGGCATTTGACAGATCTTCAATTGCCCAAGCTACCCCTATCCCCTACACACACACACACACACACACACACACACAGTAGTGTGCAATACCATCTAGTCGAAATCCATCAACATTTTTCCGCTCTTTTAGCTGGCTTTAGGCAACTTTACACCTTTTGGCCATCAATAAGTTTACGGCTCGTTTGTGAAAACGTGGCTGCAGATACAAAATGTATCTGTATCTATACGTGCGTCCAGCCATCCATCTATTTACCTACGTCTGCCTGTCGTATCTGTCCATAAGCGTGGATAGTACTAATTTTTAGCGGCTGTATGTTAAAAATCCACTCTATAATGTACATATGTACAATATACACAAATATATATATGTGTATCCATAATATACGCCAAATCGAAAGAGTTCTCATAAATACATTATTTTTGCTCGCCTTTGCAGGTTCCACGGGCTATAAATCATCGGATAAGGACAGGTAAGTTGAAGCGAAGCATACATACACACATACACACACGCACACACACACACACACACACACACACACACACAACACACCACACAACAAATGGCCGGTTATGATACATTTTTATGGAAACGCGCTTGCAACGCAACGCATCGGACAGTCAACAGGTGGCGCTGGCGTGCCAATTTATGCGTCCCGCAAGGCCATACTTATACACACACACACACACGCGTTCGCACACTCGCTCATAGCCATGAATAATGCGCACGGTGTGTTTGTGCGGCGTATGAAATATCCAACGTTTTCCATACATTCAATATTGCAAAGTCGGCTTTTGAATATTTCTCTATTTTGCCGCCCAACGTCGAGCAAACACATACACACACACACACACCCCCATACCCCCTTAACAATCGCTCATTGCCGCCCCTCATTTTGTCGTGACATGAGTTATGAGGCTGTGGCGGTTATTTGGCTCGCCGCTATGCCGGCCCCTCGTTGTGTCTTGTTGCCACATTTAAAAATTACCATATTTTATTTATGGAACACACTCTCGGACAACACACACCCACGCGCGCACACACACACACACACACACACACACACAATCCAGTAAGCAAAATTGCATAGCATAGTTTTTGGGGCGCACCATTATGGCAACGCGTTTCAGTGTGTGTGTATGTGTGCTTATATAGCGGAAATGGATTTTGAATTTCCGTTATAAACATAGTTGGCAACACAACAACCAGGGCCTCATTTCAAGCGGCATTACAAAACCGCCTAGAACTAGCCTCCAAAGCTAACAAACTAATTTCGAATATTTTTGTGTCTATCAAGGCGAATGAAAGATATTGTCAAATAAAATCTCCCTCGTGGTTGTAATAAACCACGCCCGCCTCCGCTTCAGCATCAAGTCAACAATTGCCGCCAGGCATATGAAAAAGCTTGATGTTTAGTTATGCGATTGGCATGAAATTTGCCAATCAAACGGCCGCAAATTAGAAAATAAAAGAAAATTTCGTTTAGCAGAAGATTAAATACTCTTGCAGACAGTTAAAAGACTTATCTGCCTTTTTCATAGAACTCACTTTTCGCATGATTTCTAATAGTATTCATAATTGAAATCTTGCATCCTTATAAATCTGACTAATATTTCCAATGGGAGCTATATATGGTCAAACCGGATAAAAATAGCCTTAAAAAGTACCAAACTTTATTGCATAAAAAGCTTGTCCTTTCGATATCTTCCCTGAAATAGTACACAGCTGGAGCAGAGTTTATAATAACCTAGGCAAGCGCATAAGAATCTAGCCTCTCCTCTTACATGCCCTACACGATTGTCACCCGGCCTTATTGCAAAAATTTTCGATAACAATTTCTTGTTTTCTCTTGTTTGATTTTTGCCCGCAGCGAAAAGGCTGATTTGAAATCACGCTCGGATAGCACAAGTGGCCCCCAAGGTGATTCAATTTACACAACGCCTGCCGGCTTCCATCATCACCAGCAACAACAGCAACAACAACAACAACAGCAGCAGCAGCAGCAGCAACAGCAGCAACAACAGGCAGCAGCTGCGGCGGCAGCGGCATTGCACGCAACCTCGCAGCATCCACAGCAGCAGTATCCGGGACATGGATCGCCGGAGGCAATGAAGGTACGCATGGCTGCAATGATATTACAACCGCCCACTAGGGTCTAGCAGGCAGTTGATAACGAAAGCAACGAGCTTCAGTATCAACAACAGCAAGCTCAACAACAACAACAACAACAACATGAACATGAACATGAACATGAACATGATAATAGTAATGCCAACACCAACACAAGCACAAACACAAACACAAACAGCAACAACAACAATAATATAAATACCACAACGACTGCGACAGCGACTGCAACACTGACCAATAGTAGTAACAATAATACAATAGAGTTAGCCAAAGCAACGGCCACTGGCAACAGCAGCAATAGCAGCAACAGCAGCAACATGTTGGCTGAGGCGCTCGGCAGCAGCAACAGCTCACATAGCCTAAGCCTAGCCAGTACGCTAAATAGTAGCAAAAATAGTAGCACAAATAGCAGCAGCAGAATTAGGAGCAATAAACAGCAGCAGCAGCAGCAGCAGTTGCCCACATGCGGGGAGCTGGAGAACAACATGGACTGCGAGCTGAAGCCGCAGGCCAGCGGGAAGATACTCAACTTAAATGTGACCAGCCAGGAGCTAGTGGGTAGTCAGATAGAGAGTTTGGACCATAGCTCAACAGCTGGCCAGCTGAGCGCTGAGGAGACTGAGCTGTTGCTTCAGAAGCTGAGCATCAACAATCCGTTCTATCGCTTTCGCAAGCAGAGCAACTCCCTCAGGGAGCTGCGGCGTATGCGTAGACGCGCGCGTCGCCAGCTGCGTCGCCACAGATCCGAGGCAGACCTCATGCCACAGCCACAGCAACACCAACACAATGAAGCCAAAGTTGTAGTTGTAATAGACAGTAAGCAGCATTTAACGTTAAGTAGTTCTAGACAAGGTACGAGTAGCATTAAGACTAGATCCGTAAGCAGCCTGACGCCTGATAGCTCGACGGTCATCACAAATCCGTTCAGCATCTTTCACGATGACGAGATACTCACCCTGGGCGTGAATCCTCGCCTGCGCAGCGCCAACAGTGCCGCGGCCGCCATACGTACAACGCGTCCGCAGCGCAGCGGCAAGGGCCTGCGCCGGCTCTTCGATAGACAGACATCTCCCAATCCAGCCAGTCATCAATACCTGCACGGTGTGCCCGTGCGCCACTTTGAGCGGCAGGACTTCAATCAGGAGGCGAGTCCGACGGGCAAGCCGAAGCGCGCGAAGGCCATCTTCAAGCAGCTTTCCCTGCGCAAACTGCACAAGACGGAGGAACTCTCGGTGCTGCCAAAGCTCAAGCTTAGCTATCGTTATCCGAATCGCACGCAGAGCATACAGAGCATGCGCACCGCCGGCAGCGGCGGTTACGATATACAACACACGGCCTACAGGCCGCGACTGGCCTCGACGACGCCAAAGTCCAACTACTTTGAGCGGCTGCAGGCGAAAACTAGGCTGGGCATACAAAAGATACGCGACAAGTGCCGCAACTTCAAGGCAAGCAGCAGCGACGCCAGCAGTAACGGTGGCGGCGGCAGCGGCAGCGAATTTAGTGGATTTCACACGCTCGCGAAGGACGAGAGTTTCCGCTTCATTAGCGATCGGGCGCACATTTCCAGCTACGAGTCGCGCTGCGCTGCCGCCCATGCCGCCGGCAAACAGGCGACCATCTACAAGAGCTACAAATCGGAGATAGATCTAAGCAAGAATCTCCACTACCTGGAGCACTATCTGGAGCAGAACTTCGAGCAGCAACTGAGCGACAGCAAGCAATCGGCTCACTCTGTGGGCCGCATCAGTGGCGCCCAGCGCCGAGCGCTGGCCACCGCACAGCGCATAAGAGAGACAGAGACGGAAGAAACGGAAGCGGAGACTAAGACGGGCGGAGGCACGCCGCGGCGACGCCACAAGCGTAGCCAGTCGCATACCAACAGCCAGACAGTCGGCAGCATCAGATGTGGTTCCATGGCCAACTATGAAAATCTGGGCACACTGCCAATTTCGGCACGTGCAGCGAGACACAACAAGGCAGCCTTTCACTCGGACTCGCTGAGCAGCTCAGACTATGCCTCCGTATTCAGCGGGCCAACGACGGCGAAACGGGAGACAGCAGCACCACAGGCTGAAAATAGGATGGATGAGCAGGATGTGAGACAGCAGCAGCAGCAGGAGTCTGTCCTTAAATTACGCTATGAGCATCCGGACAAGATGTGTGAGTACTACTTTGATAATCTGACCAGCTATGCGCTGGCGCTGGAGGAGAGCGAGGACCTGCTGCTGGCCGAAAGCGCCAAATCAGCGCGTTTCTTCTACGACGACGAGGACGAAGAGGATGCTGATGATGCACTGGCCACTAACGAGCCGGATTTTATGGCGCGCGACATTCGAATTCGCGTCAAAGTCAACGAGTGCGAGGATGCTGATTGGTTCCAACGCCGACAGCAGCAACAGCAACAACAACTGCAACAGCGGCAGCGACAGCAGGCGACTTCGTATAATGAGAATCTTGCCGAGAGCACTTTCTATCAATCGCTCAATCAGCATTTACAGCGACAGGCAATTGCAGTTGACGACAGGCACAAGTCGGAGACGGCCTCGGCCTCGGCCTCGTCAGTGGCATCCCTCGGCGGTGAAAGCTACTTGGCGCACTTCGAACGCAGCCGCAGCCGCAGCGATTTCGAGCGGATCGAGCGCAACAGCCTGCAGCGTCCAAATGAAGACCTAGAACAGTTTTACGCCCGCGGCGAATACTACGGCTTTGGTGGCAGCATAGGCGGTGGCGGCGGCGGTGGTGGCGGCGGACCGGAGGTCGTGTTTGCAGCCAGGCAGCGTCGCGCCGACCTCATGGAGGCACATTACTCGCGCAGCTATCCGACTGCTGCGACAGCAACAACAGCACCGCATCAATTGATGCCCAGCAGCGATGCGCTGCTCGACCAAGCAGACGGCAGCGGGCTGGCCAGCTACAAGCGCACTGCAGCAACAACAGCAGCAGCTGCAACAGCGGCAGATGCAACCACGTTGGCGTCAACCAACATCAGTGATGGGCTCTATGCTACCAGCAGCAAGCAGCAGCTGCAGTTTCAGTTGCAGGCAACAAAGCCGGAGCCAGAAATTGCAGCGGGCTCAACAGCAGCAGCAGCAGCAGCAGCAGCAGCAGTGATAGCGCCTGCGGCTGCCCTGTCAGCTGGAAATGCAAACACCAATACGAGCGCAAATAATCGGTACATGTTGGAGAATTTGCGCAAATATTACGCAAATCAGCAGCAACATCCGCCAGCGCACTCTGTCAACTCGTCCTCGCTGTCCAACTCGTCATCCTCGAACTCGTCCATGTCGCAGCAGCAAAAGCTGAATCTACCCACCGCACAGCCGCATCAGCCGCACAGCTCCAAACAGCAGCAGCAGCTCCATTTGGGGCCACCGCGTCGCAATTCGAGCACTTCGAATGCCTCCTCGACGGCGGACAACTTTGACAGCTTCATAGCGCTGCGCAATGCAACCACCACCAGCACGCCCACCACCACAGCGGACTACATGGCCAAACAGCAACTGCAGCCGCAGCCACAGCGTCGCAGCCAGCATCAGGGCGCGGCAGGCAAGGCGCCGCTAATCTCGGCTCTAAACTATTACGGCCAGGGACTGCCCAGCGGCAGCGGCAGCGTTCTCACCTACAATGGCAAATTATCTGCGACCGCAATGTTGTCACAAGTAAATTTGGCCAGATCTCCCGCGCTGCATCAGCAACATGCCACGACACCAGCAACGACAGCACAGCCAGCAGCATCCGCAACCGAAAGCTTCATATTGGAATATGAGTGTTAGCGCAAGATTAAATTACTATCGATCCATTGGGAGCAGCAACTCATCCTTATCCTCCTCGTCCTGCGCTCCCTCAGGGTGGCACACCTGTCGAAAGCGAACCGGGAATTATTTCGCCCGGCGCTTGTCCGTCCGTCTGTCCGCTTGTCTGTGCCGTGGGTAAATTTTATGCCATGCCTTGGAATACTATTTGCCGAAATTACAATTACAAATTGTTAACGCAACTGATTGGATTAACGCCACCGCCACCGTACCGCACACCCCAACCCAACCCGCCTCGCACAGCATCCCAATGGACCAGCTTAAATGTGTACATATGTGTGTATCTGATGCTGATGCTTAGCCCCAGGGCTAAGGCTTGGAATACCTAATGAATACACCCGATGTATCTCTCGTTAGCGCATAGAAAAGTACGAATAACTGAAATATCTATCCTGTGCTGTAAATGTAAGCTATATCTAAGGAATCGTATGTGTTTATTTATAAATATTTATTGCGGTTGATTAGTGTAAAACTACATGGACTTAATGGCCGTATATTATATTATAGCTAGGTATACATTATCGTAAACTACTGACAATAATACCATTCAATTACCGATTACATTCATTAGCTAAGTTAATAGCGTATATGAACATTGTATTCGACATTGAAGGAAATGCATAAATCAAATTTATAGTTGTATCATCAGAAAAATCATAAGCATTATTCTCGTACTCTAACTGCTACTACAATATATATATATATATGTCTATATATATAGATCTATTCTATAGAAATCGATTATCGAATTTTGACAAACTAAACTCCAAGCTAATCGTTACAACTTTTGATATATATATATATATATAAGATGCGGATATCGATTGTTCTCAAAGCTGTTAAGTTTTTCAGTTTAGCCTAAAAGATAATCTCAAACTAAAAGTTATCGAATATCTAACAGAGATCTGCAATGATTACAAAGAGCGCAATATCTATCTTCAAATACTTTCGAGCATTTCTTTTGAGTACTAAAAGGTACTTAACGTAATCGTATTTAACGCATGGGTATTTATTAAACCTATGATCAATTTTTACTACAATTTTTGAAAGAATACTTAAATTAATCCCGACAAAGAAAGTGAATATCAATTAGTTAAATTATTATTATTGCTGAGTAGTACATTGCAGATCTTTATCTAGATATCTAACTCTCCGTACTATACGTTAATTGTGAAGCATGCCGCAAAGAATAAAACAAAAATTATTTAATGGTACAATTTTCCAAATGCAACGCAACTGCGTTTAATTGAAAACTTAAATAAAAAAATAATAATAAATAAGGAGAAAAAAAACAACATTAAAAAAATGGCGAAAACAAAAATTTTGAGCTTCCACGTTGACATAAAGGAAATTAAAACGGCTGCATTAAGAGACAGCAACTAAATTTACACCAGCAACAACAACAACAATGAGCGGCAAATGCAATGACAAAGCGCATAAAATATGAAAATCTGTAATTACGTTGAAAGCAAATATAAAATAAGAGAAGGAGCAGCAAAAGCGCTTGCCAGCAACATATTAAATTTATTTATTTATTGCGGCAAAAGCGTATTACGTAAAAGGATGTTTGTGGCTCAGCTGGCGTCGCGTATACCCACATATATAAATATATCAAAAAATACAATATATATATATATATACATATTTACCTACTATTTATGTGACGTCAAAGTGTTTTACTTTTAAGTGAAACTGTAAATACAACTACAACTTATTGACATGCAACGAACGATAGGCGACAAAAGCGACACACTCATTAATTTCCCATTTATGCAGGCTGTCATACACTGCGAATGCGCAATATTTTCAATCATAACTTTAAAAAACCACAAATAATAAATGTTGCATAAATATTTGTATGACGTTGCGCTGAAAACTGTTTCACTGCTATTTGAATTTCCGCATTTACATATTAAAATTATTGCGTATGTGGCATGTGCTCGTATTTTTTAACCGACCTCCCCCCGTCCCTCCATAGCCTGCTCTGCACTGGCACCTCGCCCATGCAATTATCTGTGTGCGCGCAATTTATCTCATTTGCGGCTGAGTTATTTCCAACTGCAGCAAATAACACTTCCAGACGAGCCAATGCCCCGTGCCGCAACGCCAGCCCTCCACAATGCCCCACGTTTGTGTTTGTGTGCCACATTTTCCTTCTTTTTTCCCCCCCTTGTTATTGTTGGACAGCCAACACACTTTTCCGCTTAATTTACTGGCTGGCAGCTGGCTTCATGTTGGCCCCGAAAGAAGATGCCAGTGTGGCATAGTGGCACAGCACTGGCCGGTTGACAACAGCAATTGCTGCATAATGCATATGCCCGGGCACAGTTTGGACCATGTTGATCCTGGCTGGAAGCTCGATGCGCGGATGCTGTTGCTGCGGTGTCTGCTGCAGCCGTTTCAATTGCTGCAACTGTGACAACAATAATAATTCATGGCATGCTTTATGGCTGGCCATCAACTTATCGGCAGTTGCTGCCACCCTTACCTTCCGCACCCCTTCCCATCCAGCCAGTCTTCACATCAACAGCCAGCAAATAAATTAATGAAAGTCAAATTAAAATTTCTCTGATGCGGCAAATAGAGTTGGTTCAGTTTCGCCTGCGCGTTATCAGCCATGCAACAGTCGCTTGTGGCATAAACCTATCAATTGCAATACAAGAACAACTACAAAAACAACAACATTAACAGCAACTAAATTGATTAAGTAAACGCGTAAAGTTTCATGTTAAATTGATAGCAGTTAATTATGCGTTTGATTAAATAGTCAACAGTTTATCTAATTAAATTATTGAGCTTGAGCGGTAAACTAAAGTGTTTGGGTTAGGGAAAGACAACGACAAGAAGAAGACTGCTACAACATAAAAGACAGTTAAAAAATAAAAAAAACGACCAGAGCTGACAGTCAAGACAGAGACAAACACACACTACTAACCATATAAACTCAAGACCGGAACCATTATTAACTCAACTACAGAAGATATATTCCATATATACATATATATATATACGTTTTTCCCTCCCATTTTCTATGCCTAAGCGTATGTTCGTGTTTACCATTTGTTTTAAGTATTTGCAACAATAACAACAACAACAACAGCAACAGGCAACCAAAAAGCGCAGCCTCAGCTGCACCATTAACCATTTATTATTGTATAATTAAGTAATCGTATGATACTTAGTACTATTTTAACTTAGGACATTGCTGCATTCGTCTCTATTATTTCAAGTGTGCTAATGTTTATTTAGTTTATGATCATTTTCTATTAGTTCTTTATTAACATTAATTCAATGAGATTTACAATGGGTTGTGATAATAAACACACACACACACACACACACACACACACATACACTCCTCACACACTCACATACATTTGTAATAATCTCAGACACCAAATACACCGAATTGCCAACGGAATGTGTACCCCTAAAAAACAAAAAAAAAAAAAAAAAGACAAAACAAAACAAAACAAACAAAAAATTAAGATAACAATATGTAAAACATCCAAATCAAAGCAAGTAACCAGTAATATCTGCATATATACTATATATAATAATTATCCGTAAATCGTAACCGATGTATGTGCTCCATGCATTTTGTGCATTCTCTTTGGTAACTCTCAAAACTCGATTCGTATGTACCTTGTTTGATTTTCCAGTTCTGGGATCTACAATTTTCCATATCCGTTTTCTGTTTCTGTTTCTGTTTCTATTTTTGCGTTTGTGTTTGACATCGTTGTTTCCACCGACTTTTCCTTTCACACTTGTGCTACTTTTTTGCATTACATTTGTACTGTGTCTAAGAAGCAACCGATACAGCAATCACGACAACCCCCACGCTCACCCCACTTTCGTACTATATTAATTCCCGACCCAGTTCCAGTTCGAAATATTTGTTGCCTGTTTTGCACGCGATTTAAGCGCGTGTTGCGCGCGTTCTTAACAGCTATCATTTTATACAACATCCAACATGCAACACACATATTTGTCGTTTGATTAACAACCTTCAACTTGTTTATAGACTCTTTTATTTGTCATACTCTCTTATTTTTATTTGTTTATCGTGTAACCGAGTGTTGAGGCATGTTTATGAACCAGGTCAATAAAAAAACAAAAAACAACCGAAACAACTAACCGAATTTAAATGTAAACAAGCAGAGCTTGCAAATTTTTGTTAACAGATTTTTTATATCAATTTTCCACGTTTGTGTTGTTCAAATTCAAGTTTAACAATCCTTGTGTTGCTGTCATGAATGTTTGTTATGTTTTCATGCGTCAGATTTTCTTGCTCTCTATAGGCAATTTACATGCAGGCCTATGTATGTATGTATTCCCATTTTATTGCCTTACATCATCATCAAATTTAAAGTCGTCCTGTGCCTTGTATTATCAATTGCTTACTATGCTTACATAATAAATATAAATATTCTTTTGCTCTCTTTTTTGTTTGTTGTTTTATATTTAACTGCTCATGCGGCATGTCTGTCTGCCTGTGTATGTGTGTGTGTGTGTGTGTCTTTAAATTTAATAATTTTATTTTACGAACCATCAAATTTCATGCAATTGTGTGTCGAGTGAAACGGATTTTGCTGCATTCAATTAAGCCCGTCAATGAATTGTAATTAATCCTTGAAGCGCATAGCTTACATTTGTTTTGCTTTCGATTTTTGTTTGTTTGTGCAACAAGACTCATAAATAAATGCCAGACACGCACCACAAAACTTCAAGTTCTGGCCACTCAGCTACGCCCAGCCCCGCCTTAACGCAGCAGTCAAAAGACTTTTGGGCAACATAGAAAACTTTATTGTCGCTCTTTGTTCCCTGGCCAGCTCGTGCCATCCAGCTGACATTGCGTGCAATTTGTTAAAGCCTGAAATGAACAAAAGCAATTTCATTGCATCATTACACAATTTGGTGCAAGCAAATCGTTGCATGCAACCTCCAACTTGCCACATTCTATGCACAAACTTAAGTCGACTTTCGGCACTCGGCATAAGTTGCTGGTTGTTGTCTAAAACAAGCGCAAATGCAACAGCGTTTGCCCCTCACTGGTGGCGCCACCTCACTTAACTTGCATTGGTTTTCCCTGCTAATAACTTGAGCCAATTAATTGTTCGGCTAAAAACAATGCACAAGTTTGGCAACTCAACTTGAAGTCGTGTGTTGCATGTTGCATATTATAATAACTTTGCAATAACAGCCGCAGCATCTCACCATATTTTGGCCAAATTTACGCGGCAGGTATTTTATACATATTATGGCCAGCACATATGCACACTCACACTGATAGATCCGCAACAACTCGGCACACACACCCCACCCACCACACACCCACACACTGACACAAGCACTTGCAAACTGTTAAGCGCACTTTGAAGTCCACCCGTTCGCTCATTTCTGTTGCAAGTTGGTTAACAAGCATTTTGGCCCGCTTTTTTTTGTATTTCAAATTTGACATACTACTATATGCCATATGCAATGCATTAAAAATACCCATTTCACGCGCTGTCAACTCGATAAATGTGCATTAATGCATTTAATGTGGCAGTGGTGAAAATTATAATTCTTAATTACGACCAATTAAAGCTGAATGCAGATAGCACTTAAATCAAAATGTAAAAAACACTGCCAATAAATAGCCCAAGCCAAGCGCGAACCACTCCAAAGGCCACTCAAACCACGAAACGAGATCGCAAACAAAACAAACGCAGCGCATTGCAAACAATGACAAAAACAAACAGCAGCAACAACAACAAACAATATATATAAAGCGCAATTATTATAATTTCATTTTTCTGTCAGTCATAAAAATTGATTTCCTTTTCACGGAACTTTTCTTTATTTATTTTAATTTTTTAATTATTAAAGTGATAAATATTTGCTTTTCACTCAACTCAAAGAGTTGAAAGACTCCAACAAAAAAAATGTAAATTTATAAAAATTAGCGCTATAAACAATACAACAAAAAAAACTATTCAGTCAGACGCATAATGAAATTACAAAAGTTCCTCTTGGCATGCATTTTACATGTTTGTTTTTTTTGTGAGCGTATGATAATGTTGAAAATGCAAGAAATTTTTACAAAAATTTTAAAGACTGGAACGAAATAATTCACCAATTTGATTTCTTATGAGTATGTCGCTCTGCTTGGTTATTTGTTTTGATTTATGTGTGTTTATTATCCTAAGTATGAATACCTACCTATTATATCACCCACTCTTTTATATGCTACCCCTTAAACTATACTTGATTATTGTTTTTAATTTTAATGATTGAAGCTACATTTATGCCTTTTAGTTTAAAGTAAAGATATACGAAACAGCGTGTTTGCAGAAGCCAATTGAAATTGAAATAATGAAGCCCGGCGGGCGTAATCATGATGATGATGTTGGTGATGATCATGTTGATGATAAATATGACGTTTGAATCTCAAGTGAAATGCAATGTAAATGTGTGCACCTTGTATTTAATTTTTAATTCTTAAGTGTATAAAATAAAATTATTAATATGCCTATTTATTTGCAACTGATGAAATGCCTAAGCAACCGAAGTTGATTTTAATAAAACTTATTTTCTATATACATACATATATTTATTTTTGTTTCTTCCATTTGGAATTGCGCATTAGCCAACAGCTAACTACATAGAGAGAGCACCAATTCTAGAACGAGTCCATAATTACAATTAGAAGTTTTTCCATCATTTAGCCAATCCAAGTTCTCAGCTCAGTTAGTCAAAAGGCAATGCTTTGATATGTATTTTTTTCGATCTCTATATCAGCTCCTAACTGCATAGAAAATATTAGTATTTTGATTACCTTATAGCGTGATAAACAATTGATATATTTAGAGTTTATTAATGATTTTCATTCACCCTTATGTTGGTTGCAATTTGTAACAATTTATATTTTATGTAGAAAAATCATAATGAATTGTTTGCAAAGCAGTTCAGAGAATTCAAAGAGAGAGAAAGCAAAAACAAACAATAAATAAATAAGTTAAACAAATATTTATATGATAATTATGGATAATGCAGAGCAACTACTAATTTATAGCAACAAAGGTGAATTGAAAAAGAAGAGAAAAACTGAGTACCCCCTTAAATGATGAACAAATTTATAATAACTACAAAAAAAGAACATAAATTATAATAATAAAAAAAAACTACTATTTAAATTCATAAGCGTGTATGTGTGTGTTTTAATATTTATTCATTTGTGTGTGCCTTTATATTTTTCAGTTGAGTTTTCATTAATATTGCATTGAGCATTGTTTTATATTAATATTATTGATTCTGTTCGTTGCATTCGTGTATTCCTGCTGTATGTGTGTGTGTGTGTGTGTGCCTTGTGCAAACGTTTGGATAATTTTCTCTCTTTCACTCCCTTTCACTGCCTTTCACTCTCTTGCGTGTGAATGGAACATAAAATCATGAGCTCAGAGCTGCGCTCGCTCCGTTTATTCTGCATTTTTTGAGGCTCTATGCGCTCACTGTTAGTTGATTGAAAAATATAAATATATTTTCATATATACATATTTCCTATAAAAAATTAAAACAAACAATGGAAAATACTCCATACCAACAATACAGCCCAAAGGCCAAAAGTACTCGTAATTGAGATTGTTGGCAATCAACAAATGCACTTGCCGAACTGATTCTGATTCGTATGCAGATGCATTCAGCAAATGACCCAATTCTAATTCCTCCGCCCATCCGCACTCCCACATCAAAACAGCACTCACAAATACATACAACACACACACACACACACGCGCACACACACACAAATTTGTACGACGACACCTTGGCAATTGTCTTGCATATTGAATTAACTTTATTCGAAATTGTAATTACTTTGTATAATTTCTGCGTTGCCCCTTATAATTATAGTGTAACCACGCAACCCACCAACAACCCAGCATAACCCATCCAATAAATAAGATTTAATTTCACACACATGTGGCTGTAGGGAATTGTGCATCTTGAAGCTCCAGCAGGCAATTATTAAGCTAATTAACGATAGCGAGAGAATTTCCAAATAACTCAAATTCCCATCTCAGGCGGCACCAAATCTTCCAAATCCACCAAGAATATTAGAATATAAAAATGGTTTAGTTAAAAAGATTCCAAGAAATAGGAACAGAAAGCCATTTTAAATATTTAATTTAAATGTATTTCCGTTTTGATTTACGCTTTACGTGGACTTGGTGAACGCCCGAACCCGTATTCTTCCTCTCTTATCTCTTGCCTCTCTCTCTGTCTCTAATTATTTATATATACGCATACCTGTAAATTGTTTAATTGATATGGATTGATGGATTGACCTTAACTAAATATATATACACACAAAACATATATATATATATAAAGAATATATACATATATACAAACTATATATCTAAATAATAATGACTATATTTATGTATATGATTATTTTTCTTACTTTTGATGACCTTTGATGATGTAATAATAAGAGAATGAACTGAATTGATTGAATTTTTACTTTGATATGTACATTGA